ATTATCAGCAACGTATATGATGAAGGCGAGGAACAAGCCACTCAGAGTATGGGTACGTCAATGTTTTAACATGCTATGATGTTGTAATTACTAATCAGTATCTTAACCTACCACCCGGATAAGCATTCACCACCCAGAGGCAGCTTCTTATTTATGAGCCTTTTTGGGATGAATTTTAAGTCATTACAACCTCATTAAAGTGGATACTTTTAATATTTTTGCAGCCTAGTGTTTGATATAAACATTTTTCCTACTTTCTGATTAGTTTTCTTTGCAGCAGTGCAAAGGAACCTACTAGGAATTAGATTACAAATAAATTTTATGCGAAATAGCGCCCACACAAGTGATGTTCTTAACACCTTTTCACCATTTCCATAATATCCTACTTTCGCCTTCTTTAGGGTTTAATCCCAAATTAATTGAAAACTTCCTTTCTTTAGCATCCACTGTAGAATATCCAGCATCCATCACTCGTTCAACTCAACATGCGGATCTCTCGTCAGCAGCAAGAATAGATAGTATCAAAATGCGCAAAGCAACGTTAAAGAAAAAAGAGGATTTAACGAAAGATTTGAAGAAGAAAAAAGATGATGTAACAAAGAAAGATGAGAAAAAGAAAAAGGATGAGAAGAAGAAGGACGACCAAGAGAAAAAGAAGGAAGAAGGGAAATTGGTAAATTCTTGAAATTTTTCTTGAAAATTTGCAACTATTTAATTTATGGTCTTATAGCCATTATGGCGTCGTCGATTCACAAAAGTATCAAAAAAGGATGTGGATAAAACACAATAACCTTACAGAAAAACTGCTTTTTGTATAACGAAAAAAGAAAAAGACCGCTATCGTTGCGTTTAAGTTAATAAAATATTTTCAATATACATCTTTTATGACTGTGTTGTTATCGCCTCAAAGGTAAGACGGCAGTAGTAGTAAACCCTAGGGAATTTTTAGCGAACTTGCACATCTGTGGTACAATAATTTTTCGCGTTTTGAACAAAAGAATTTGAAATTTACAAATTTTTAAAACCTTTTTTTTAAAAGGACAATTCGTTGTGACATGTTGTAGATTCAACAAATTTATTGCAAATCATCGTACTCGTCCAAATCGGAAAACATTTCTTCTTCGTTTTCTCCTTCTTCAACCTCTCCCACATCGTATAACACCGCTTCAGGAACATCAGTATCCTAAATTATATAAAAATAAGATTTTCTACTTAGAACTTCAAAGCTTTTAGTGAATATCACCTGTCCCAGCTTCTTGAACTCGAACAGCTGAGCTAGTACATATTCAAGAATTCGTTTTGCTGTTCGTTCACTTGAGGAGAATACCGATGAGATGCCGAGAATTTCGCCTGCTTCACGAATGTAGAACTCCAAATCCTTTTCTTCGCCTAAGACAATAAGACATATGAAGTTTACGGGGTGAGCTAGAAGAGTTACTAACATTTGTTAGTGAGCTGCACAAGTCGAACATCCTGACTGCTAAACATCTCATCCAAATCGAAAAGTTCCAGCTTCGGAGGCGGCAATTCGCGAAAATTTGGAGGGAACACCTAAGGGAGAAAATGTTTTGGGCATAATTGCTATTCAACTTCATGCTGATCATTCACTCATTCATTCCCTTTTACTAGTCATGCACTTATTCTCCATTCATTCTTTTAACTGTATTGTCCTGGAAAGCTATATCCTACCGCTGGAAGGAGTGGCGGCAGTGGAACCTCGAACTGTGGTACAATTAGAGTTAAGGGCTCAGCCTTCACTT